CCTTAAATAGGGCTGAAGTGTGGGGAACCCAAGGGAGATTCTCCACTGATGCATTTAAAGACAGCTAGGCTACGAGGAGCAGAAAGAGGAAACAAGAAAACAAGGATTTCAGTTCTACAGATATAAGGAACTGGATTCTCCCAACAGGCCAAAGCATGCTTTGAAATGGATTCTTTTCTAAATCCTGCAGATGATAACTCAGCCCGGCTGGTCCCTAGGAGTCAGACTCTGAGAGAGAACCAGTTGGCTATGTCTGTATTTCTGACCTATTGAACACAAGAACACAACAACAACCACTTGTTTTATGCCTTTGTGTTTGTGGTACTTTGTTATACAGACACAGAAAGTGAATAAGGGTATCCCCATTGAATGTGATTTGGAGTTTCTTAAAAGAGAATTTTCCTAGTCACCTTTCATTCAGCTTTTCTCTACAGCCTCAATTGGCTTCCTGACCATAAAGTTAGTTCATGAATGTAACTGGAAAATGCAATTTTGTCAGATTAAAATCTTCTCTCTTATCACTTAGAATTATCTCTTTCTTTTCTCCCTCACTGCCGTTGGAGATGCAGAGATGTATGGATCTTGGGTACAGTAGACACATGTTTGGGTTGGAGAAGCAAACCAAAAAATACAGATTTCAAGAATTAAAGAAAACACTGTATATTTTGAAGTAACTCAAATATGTTCCATTCATTGTATCTAGCTGTCTGGAAACAAGTAACCTTGACATAACAGCTGAAGAAGGCAGAGGAGCTGTGTGAGCATAAATGCCTGAATGCGTTCATATCTTCTATCAATAAACATTACTAGAATGTAATGCATCTGAATTCACATTTTTCTTCCTGGAACACAGCATTCTATCTTCTGCTTCCTGATCCTGCAGCTGGATCTTATTACCAGTGCAGGGTGGACTGTGGGAAGCATGCTGAAACTTTTCAAACTACAAAAGAGGACTGCCTTTTGTTAACTGATGTCTAGGTTATGCAGAATGGCCACTGTATGGTTATACCATGTGGTGTGAACACTATTATATGCTTGTTGATAGCACCACCCAGGACATTTAGTTAAACCTTACTTTGCTTATAATCTAGTAGAGAAAGGAATTGGTGTTGGATAGAAAAACATATTAGACTAGAGCTTTTGTAGTTGAGGGTGCAGAGAATGCTCTATAGAAAATGTAACTCTAGGATGTTTCATGGTTAATTTAGAAAAGAATGCTGTCCCCAGCACAGCTTAACAGTGTTCTTATATAATGCAGGTAAGTGAAAATATTAGAAGGTAATGATTCACATGCAAAGCTCACCGTTTAAAACGCATATTTTCTGCCTTTTGGAAAATGGTGGAATTGGATTAAAAAATAGGTCACTTAAATTTAGACTTGAACAAATGTGGAGAAGGATTTTAGAATGAAGGGTAACTCCATGACCACAACCCTAAGCTGAAAAAGGACAATAAGCCTTTTAAATAAAAATCAAGGACAACACCAACAAGAAAAACTTAAAAGCTTCAAAATGTGGCGATCCAGGTGAACCATCATTGAGCTTTGACCAACTTTAACCAATGTCTTCCGAGGTACTAAAGCCAACAGTAAGAAAGCTATTAGTAAGTTTATCTTTATGGGCTTCAACTTCTTAGAGCGATATCTTTTCTATATGTGTAATTATGCTGAGGGAAAATACTACATGCTCAGATGAAATGAAGGACTTCAGCTTATGCCCACAGGACCTTGTCAAGTAGCCAATGACTTGGCCTTTCATTGTGAGTGACTAATATCAATGCTGCTCTAAAGAAAGACACTTTTCATAATCACCCAACAATCCACTAAGTGAAAACATGTGCATTGGCTTAGGTGCAGCCTGCCAGGGGTCTCTACTGAATGGGAAACAGGTGCTCGCATTCTGTGCCATGTAATACCCCATTTACCCCCAAGTCCAAAGGTTACAGGACTAATAGCTGCCTTGCGGCAACCAGGGAAAGCAAGACATTGGCCCCGGCAGAACATCTGGGACATATTTTACATACTTGCAACATATGCTTCAGGTTCAATTAAAGTGAGGCTTTGGCACATTTATTAATCTTCTTTACTTTTATCCTATAAGAGGACCCATTGACCTGACCCCACTATAATACCATATGAGAAAACAGAGAAATAATGAGAACTAAAGGTCAGTACCTGTTCGTATGGTGAAAAGCACATTTGTTTTTTCATGAAATTCCATTACACATGACTCTACATACAAACTTTAACTGGAGGAACCAATGAAATTTTAAAATAGGAAATGACTCTTCTCCCAGTCAGACACACTGATAGCTAAGACTTACAATGTGTGCTCCGTGAGAGCCACGCTGATGGACAGAAGCTGGTGACGGATGCATGCTCAATCCTTCCTTATTTCCACTTTTGTTGCCTAAGAGAGCTTCAAAGTGTCTTGCAAATTATGACACTTGAGATTTTCTTTTAGGTTCAGACACCATTTTTATACTATCAATTTCACTATGGTCAAAAAAGAGGGGGACCTCACCCTCATATATAATTCAAACAAAAGGCTGGGTTATGAACAACAGCTCACAATGAAAACACACTACTTGCCTATATCAGCTACGGACAAATTTAGTGGAGTTCACACAGTCACTGAAGCCCTCACTTTCGGTCTACTTTGGTAACTGGATCTGAAAACGTGTTAGAAGTAGGGTGTCAATTTCAGACAGCCAACCACTAGTTCACTATGTATACAGCTCCTGAGAGTTGGTGTTGCCACCCAGATGTGTTCAATCCAATCTGTGTTTTGGTGAGGTGGTTAGCTAGGGAGGTTTATTTGTTGCTTACACCTAAGACCTTCTCTATTAAAAAAAAAAGTGAACAAGAAAATGAAGAGCCACAAGCTACTAACCAACTGGCTAACAATGTATGGGCTGACTTCCAGCAGAGAGACATGGAAGCAGTGGACGTCACTGGGGTTTCTATTTGTTAACATTTCTAGGGAAACGCCTGCTGCTGGGATGGATTTTTATGGTGGCTTTAATAATAAAGTAGCAACAAGCAAGGGAGAATAGCCATAAATGGATGGCAGCTCAGTCTTTAGCAGCAGAGAAGTGATGATTCAGAGCCGGCATGTTGAGTTAGAGTACAGGCTCTCCACAGCTCCACAACCGACCTTAACAATAAATCAGACGGTTTATTGCCAGGGGTGTGTGCTCATATTATTTGACTTTAAAAACGTGTGTGTGTGTGTGTGTGTGTGTGTGTGTGTGTGTGTGTGTGTGTGTGCAGACAGGAGATTTTGTTAGGTTATTTTTGATCATGGTACTAATGACTGAATGAGGTACAGGAGAAAAATTTCACATAAAAGCTCTATCAGTTTAAAAGCATTTGAAGCAGCGTGGCAGGAAAGCAGCAGGTAAGCATGTGTGTTTCCATTCTACTGCAAAAGTCAAATATTAGTTGGGGAACCAAAGATGGTGAGGTGAAGCATTCCACGGGACACTTCCCCCTTTGACATTTCCAATGCTTGCTTCCAGCACAGACTCTTATACTAGGGTATAACTGTGCATCCTTTGGGGTCGAAGACCAAGGGCATAAATTAAGATGCTCTGTCTTCCTTCAAAAACATCATTGCTTTCTGTAACAGTGGTCAGTTTTGGGTGGAGGTCAAAATCTCGTTTTGTATGCTAAATAATGTGCAAGTAATTAATATTTTCTCCCTTGATCCTTGTCTATCTTCAGATAAGTTTTGTATCTACAAATGCCAAGAGATCACAATGCCTTGCTGCTGGAGAGAGCTGTTATCCTAACCCCAGCCACTGCTGTGGTGGTACAAGGTCCTGCTAGTTCCTCCCTCTCCCCAAGGAACCACCAACCCAAACAAGCCAGAAATCAGTTGCTGTTCACTGTAGTCTGTAACACGAATTGCTAAACGGTCTTATTAATAATAATAATAAAAAAAAAAAACCCGGAGACAGATATTGGAGTGAAAGCTGAGAGATCAGAGAAATAGAACAAGCCAGCCACAAGTTCTTCCTGCTAGGAAATCCTCAGCCCAAGAGAGAGCTACTTCCTGTATACTCACGCCTATATACCTTTCTGTGCCCTGCCGTCTTACTTCCTCTCTCTGCCCAGCTACATCACTTCCTCTTTCTGCCCAGCTCCATCACTTCCTGTCTGTCTGTACAGACCCCCAGACCTCTATGGTTAACTAGTGCTGGGATTAAAGGTGTGTGCCACCACACCTGGCTCTGTTCCCAGTGTGGCCTTGAACTCACTGAGATCTGACTGAATCTCTGCCTCCCAAACGATAGGATTAAAGGTTTGTGCTACCACTGCCTGACTTCTGTGTTTAATATAGTGGCTGGCTTTTTTCTCTGATCCCCAGGCAAGCGTTGTTTGTAAGAGCACAAATAAAATATCACCCCAGTGGTCAGCATCACCAAGTCAAGTGGCAAAACGAAATGCAAGTCTCTCCTAAGTCTTTTGTGATGGAAGAGGCATGGGGACATCATAGACCTAGGCAAGGGCAGTAAGCACAGAGCCATTCAAATGTCCTTCCAAGCACGTCATACACATATTCTTTTGCTGAACAATTCTTTGAAAATTATAGATGACATTATCCGTGTCCAACTCATGCAGGCTACTATTTTTTCACACCCGCCTCTGTCCCCCCAAAGCATAGACTGATTTGTAACATTCAGGATCGGACAAATTTTTGCCCTTCAAAAACGGTTGTCAGTGCTGTTATCCTCACAACAGCTATCAAGTTCAAGACAAGCTGATTTTTTTTTTCTCCTGGCAGAAAAATATTTGACCCAGCTCTGGACAAAAGCAGAGAGGATTTATAGCCATTTCTTCCTCATTGCAACACGCAGTGGCATTGTTAGGATGACAAACAGCACTGTCCAATTTTCTGGACTCAAAACACTTCAACTCCTTTTTCAACTGTCGGTGAGAACAGTGTCATGTCTGCGTCTGCCACCCCCAGGTACCCAGGGCTGGGAGAGATAATTACCTTGTCATCCTTCTCATCTTCTTCCTCCTCGTCCTCCAGCATGTCCTCCACCACCTGCAGACAGAAACACAGGCTGTTTGTGCTCTTAGAGGAGAGGATTTTGTTCTGTCATTCTGAACCCTTTGGAAATGAAAACTTTATTAACATTTGAAACACATGCTCTGAGAGCAGACGCTTCATCTAGAGATGAAGATTAGGAAAGTGCTCAGCCTTTAATTGATTAAAGCCTCAGTCAGGAGAATCCTGCTCATGTGAAACATTCGGTGTCAGAGAATCTGAAGTATGCCGAAGGTAAACTAACACACATCTGTGAGCTGCTCGAAATCATGATGTTTCTTTCCTAGTTCTCCTGCCTCCCGTTTCAATCGGGCGTTTTAGACATAGCACTGGATAACGAAGCCTGAAAGAGCCCTTCTATTTCTAACTTATGTTTTGCCCAACTATAAGATAAAACTATCTCTGCTAATTGATTCACACTGGTGGTCTGTGGCATAAAACTGATGATGAATGTCTTGTAATGGCTCAAACTTTAATTCTTATGTATAAAATCAACTCTTGATTGATTTGTCCTGAATCCTATTTTCAGATTTTGTGGGTTACCTGAAATATTCCTTTTAATTCTTCATGATTTTTGTAAGAATTGTGAATATATATTAAGATTAGAAATATATTCCACAATTAAATATAAAAAATATAATTTACATTGGTAAATATGCATACTTTAAAAACAGTTTTATTTTATTTTATGCGTAGGGGTGTTTAGTCTGCATATATGTGTATCCACCACTTGCATGTCTGGTACCTGTGGAGGCCAGAAGAGGGCTTCAGATGCCCTGGAACTGGGGTTGCAGATGGTTGTGAGCTACCACGCAGATGCTGTGAAACAAATCTGGATTCTCTGGAAGAGCAGCCAGTGCCCTTGAGCCCTGAGTCATCTCTCTAGCCCCAATATACTTATTTTTTGAATGGGAAAATCATTTTGGATCTAACAAACAATTTTTATTTCCTTTGGTCACTATATAATTGTGAGCATAATAAATGTAACTTCCAGAGTCAGATGGCTTACAAGGAATTTGAGGACTGTAAGGTCACATAGTGACTTCCTGGCCAGCCTGGGTTACAGCCTGAGTTTCTGCCTTAACAAACAAACCAATTAGAATTTACACTTTAAATAAATGTTTTCCCCACAATAACATGCACATGTGTGTGTGCTCTATAGAAACCAAAAATAGAAAACTCCTGGGAGGTATTTTTCAGGTAAGCCTCAGAGGACTATAATTATATAGAATATAAATTCTATATAATTTCTAATTCATATGCTGCTTTTTTCTAATATAGTTTGAATGTCTCAAAATAGAATGAGTTGAAACACAGTTATCGAATGCTTTGAAACCTTTCTCACCAGAGTTTTGATGATGACAGCATCAAATCCTTCTTTCATGTGACTTTTGGATACAAGGAGAAACTAAGACTGTGTAATGCTGCAGAACTGTACAAACTGAGATATAATGCTATATTCCCAGGTATTTTCTCTCAAGTTTTCTAAAAGTCTTGTGTGACTTTAATGAATAACCCAAACACAAATTCCAGATCTCATGAACCAGTGTAAAATCAAAGACATCTGAAAACCCCAGAACTGTTCCTAATTTAATCTCATACTTGACATCTTTGTTAAAAAAGTAGGACTTATGGCCTTCCTGCAGAACAGGGAACACTTCAGAAGGACCCCAGCTGGACAGAAGGTCCATCACCCAGGGACATGCAAGCAATTCAGTCTCCACAAACAATCTGCACACATTGCACTCTCAACCTGGTTCAAACAGCTCGTAAGTATTTGTTTTAAACCCTGGCCCAAGGTGTACTCTATAGGTTTAGATGTGAACAGAAAGATGAGCAAACACACTGAGACTCCATCAATATTCACACCAACCCAGTAGAACTTAAGTAGGAGATCTCAGACAAGCCTTCGTGTAGACTTAGTTTTCTCCTGTTTAAAGCATTCACATTATAAATATGGAGAAAATGGTGATAACTGTGGCGATGTATGATTGGACATTTAGATTGGATCATTCGAGATGGAGATTAGATTTCATCAAAAGAAGTCACTGAGCCCTCATGAGGTTATATTTAAATGACTTTATGTCACAAATAAAAAATAACATTATCTTATAAAATTTATATTTAAATAAAAGACTTTTTCTTTCATTCTTTTTTCTTTCTTTCTGCTTGGCTAAAGTTGGTCATGAAAAGTCATATCTAATATGAGAAGAAAATAAACTCAAACACTGCTGAAGCTAGTTATGATTAAAATGTGTTATTGTAGGGTCTAGAGTGGTCGCTTAGCATGTATAATCCTGTATTCAATACACAGCACCAGAAACAAGCTGGGCCCTGTTGTTGGTTGTTTTATCACTCTTTACTCTTTGGGGGCCCTGCCACCCAGCTGCCAAATAAACATGCATGGAGGCTTGTTCTTTCTTATGAATACCTGGCCTTAGTTTGGCTTGCTTCTGGCCGGCTTTTCTTAAATTATCCCATCTATCTTTTGCCTCTGGGCTTTTACCTTTCACTACTCCTTACTCCAAGGCTTGCTGGGTAGCTAGATGGCTGGCCCCTGATGTCCTCCTCCTTCTTTTCTTGTTTCTTCTTCTCTTCCCAGATTTTTCCTTCTGCTTATTCTCTCTGCCTGCCAGCCCTGCTTATCCCTTCTCCTCCCTCGCTATTAGACCATTCAGGTATTTTAGACAGGCACAGTAACACAGCTTCACAGAGTTAAACAAATGCAGCATAAAAGAATGCAACACATTTTTGCATCATTAAACAAATATTCCACAGCATATTGTAACACACCTTAAAATAATATTCCACAACAGTATCCTATACCTCATCTCTAACTCCTCATCACACCTCACTCCCAGAAGGCAAATGTGACAGATTATGTCTTGCATATTGCAAACTACATAGTAGTTACTCAAGAACTGTTTTTGGTTGGATAAATAGGTAAGTGCATCATCTGGTTGTCATATCCTCCCACTTGTTTTTGTTTTTCTCATGTCAGCCCTCCTGCCTCAGTCTCTCAAGTACTGGAACTGGAGGCATGCATCACTGCACCTGGCTCTGGGCCTCCAAATGACTGCACAAACTCCATGGTGTAACATCTACTTTTTATTTCTCAGAGGTAACCCAGTTCATTTGACCTAGCTCACATATAACCAATGATGTAGATGAATAAAGGCAAATGATCAAAATTTTTCAAAGTGTGGCTTGGAGAAGGTACCCATCTGCATCTATCTTTAAGATCCAGGGATCATCAATATCCCATTTCCCAAACTTCAAAATATGAAAAATAAACAAACCACTAGGATAATTACACATTTTACAAATGACATTGTGTTCAAGTGGGACTCAAGGAGGTCTACAGAATCAGGCTCTTTTGCAAAACCCAAACTGTTATTACCCTGCCCAAGTGGGTAATTGGCTCCATGCAGTTACTCTGCAAATGTGCTGCCAGGCACCCCCAACACAGCCATTGGCTTCTACATTTGGCAGAGAGTGTTGTGCTGTGTTCTGCTTAGGGCTGTCCTCCTCTGTTGCCTTTGGCTGTTACGTCATAGGCATTTACACATGAGGATCGACAAAACAGATGATGGGTTCCTATTGATTTCTACATGTAACTCCAGAATGTATCCCACTAGAACATGTTGTTCAGAGGAAGCATAACATGCTTGGAAAATAGTGGTGGTCACAGCCCCTTTCCCACAGTGCTGATTGAGGACTCAATGAGGCTACATATGAAGTCTTAGCATACTTCTTGTATCAAAAAAAATCCTCAAAAATGTCAGCTAATGATAAAAACAAAATGTCAACTATATCTTTAACATTCATTTTTAGAAATCAAATTATATCTTTTTTGTTCTGTATTCTGAATGACATAAAATTTTGTCTCATGTTTTTACTGACCCTAAGAAACACAAATCAGGTCATAGTATAGTTATAGATGAAGACTGCAGCTTGAAGTCATGATGGATTCATGACTAATCTCCAGGCATCAGTGACTCAGTGAACGGACAGCTCTGAGGGCATGTGTAGCTTCTAAATTTGTCTGTGCTTTTAGGCACACAGGCCAGGCCATGTAATGAGTCCAGAAACTGCAAGATGAGTTAAAAAGTAAGCTATGTAGTACATTTAATGACTGCACAAACCTGCAGCCTTCCAAGAGAACTCAAGAAAAATCCTGCTATTCAAAAAGAGTGCTGGAGTTTTAACACTTAAATAAGTAAAACAAATACAAAACAAGAATTCTTGCCTCAAATTTCAGCTCATTCCTCCTTAAATAAAACCAAGTAAGTGCTACATAGTTCTTTTAAGTATTAAAAAACCAGTAGTTTAAAATTTGCAAGCAATAATTTAATCATACCACACCACACACAGTGGGCACACGCACACAAACAGAAAGAGAGAGAGAGAGAGAGAGAGAGAGAGAGAGAGAGAGAGAGAGAGAGAGAGAGAGAGAATATTTCCTTCTCCTTCAGGGGGAAAAGGAAAAAGATTGAGAAAAAGATGCATTTGTTAGAAAAGATACATTTACTAAGTTGGATTTTCCCCCTTTTCTTAAAGAGAGTTCTCTAAGATAGGCTCCAGAATTCTTTTTCCAGATTATGCTTTCTGATACATTGCTTGAAAGCAAGTAGTATTAATCAAACAAAGGAAGGGCACTAGGGAAATCAGAAAGATGTAATGCAAGCAGTTAAAAGTGACACGACCTTCTGTAATGTCGTTGGTCACAGACTTATATGCCACACACTGGAGGAAGGTCTGCAAGAAAACTGATTCTAGGTACTATTCCTTGAGTGTAATACTAATAAAGATGACATTTTAAAAACCACACAGGCAGCCCCAAACATGGTGTGCCAGACACATTACAGTCAAAGAACAAGCAGATATCATTATTTTCAAAGGATTATATTTCTTCTTCCATATTCAGTATTTGCTGGGCATTTGTCATTAGCATATAAAATTTAATATGGAGCAGTTACAAAACTCTCTTTTCAAAG